AGATACAGTTTTTGGTAATACGGCTTTGCGCTTTGCAGCCGAGGAAGAAGGCCACTTGGAAGTTGTACGATTGTTGCTCGAGGCTGGAGCTGATAAAGATGCAGCAGATACATGGGGTGGTACGGCTTTGCAGGTTGCAGTCCAGCAAGGCCACTTGGAAGTTGTGTTGTTGCTCGAGAATGGAGCTGACAAAGATGCAGCAGATACAAATTGTGATACGGCTTTGCACATAGCAGCCCTGGAAGGCCACTTGGAAGATGTGCGATTGTTGCTCGCGGCTGGAGCTGACAAAGATGCAGCAGATACATGTGGTGATACGATGTGATACGGCTTTGTGCTTTGCAGCCTACAAAGGCCACTTGGAAATTGTCAGTTTGCTGTTTGAGGCTGGAGCTGACAAAATTGTGGGAATAACAATAAATAAGACAACATAAGACAACCCCTCATGTCATGAACTCACCCCTCACTACCACTACATTGCAGCATTGGAGTTCCTCTCGTTGTTGTTTTCCTAATTTTTAAGAATTGTATTTATCTACCTTTGTGTAGAATGCGCCAATAGGCTAATACTATTCAAGATCATGATGTAAAGCTGTGAGTATACCACGACCAGTGTAGAATGTGTATCTATGCCAATACTATATCTCATTGGAACTTCTGCTTTCAACAAGCACGCATTTCTCATTTTGCTGCGAGCCAGCGTTGGGAGTGAGGTCGACGACCAACTCCAGTGGCCAATGAAGGGCTTTGGGTTCCCATGTCCAAATTAGAAGTACGCTAGCTGGGGTCATTTGGGAGCTTTACATCATTAGGACCGTGTTTGCCAAATGGTTGCTAGTACTCCTGCTACTCAGTTCAGTCAGCTAGCCAATCTGACTGACCGAATGGAGAACGATCAACCATTAGATGAACAGATGCTTTGAAAACCCCGTGTTGTTGCTATAGTTTTTGCGGATTCCACAAAGCTTTGTTTGATTTGCTCATGGACTTTCTATTTTTGTGCAAAAGCCAAAGCTAACTCGAGTAATCACAAGTATTGTTCCACACCCGGTGGGACTGGCATATAGACCTACATTGGGGGGTTGACCTGGGCTCAATATATGTCTAGAGTTTAGCTTCACCTAAAGCGCAGCCTTGTGGAGTGCGAAGGTGTTGCTTCAATGGCAATGTCCAGAAAACACGGACACTGCTGCTCAGCAGAGATGGAAGGTACGGTGCTTTGCAGATTGAGATCCGCAAGAAATCGGCAACCTTCTAAGAGATGTTCTCATGAAGAAATCGGAAGAACCCAGCTTCAGGGAGAGAAGCGACCAGCTTGTCAATGGTCAGCTGTGATATGTATCCTGCATTGATTCCAGTCCCATGGAGGGTCCGGGGTTAGGTCGATTAGTGCTTGCTCGATTCAATGGAGTTGTTTAAGGGGAACATCTACCCAAACCATGACGGCTTTCACCGCTTTCACCATTGGCTTTCCGAGGTTGTTATGTTGTCCGTAAACAAGGTCTTGGGAACGTGACGATTTGGATGATTTCTTACATGGACCCCATGCCCACATGACGGCCGTCGGGCGAAGTCTGGCCCACTCTTCCATGGGACTGACTGCAGTATTTGCCTACATGTTGAATAAGGTAATGATGCTTTGACTGCTTTGATTTTGATATGGTTGATTAAAATGAAGAAATCAACCATATTTAAAATCGGGTTTTATCCTGTTTCATTTTATGTTCAAAAACTTCACTCAATCAACTTTTTTAACATTTTTTCTCCACCTGCCGCCGCGCCCCCTGCCCACCTGCGCCAGGTGATGAAGGACTCTTGGAAGAGGTGGTTCTCCTCCAGCCAGTGGTGCAGCCGGGCGTGGCCGCGTCGGTGCCCCGGCTGTTCATCACGAGGTCTGAGACCAGGACCTCAGGAGTTGGGTGGTAGACATGGACAGCCCGAATCAGCGAACGAAGGGGCAATCGACACCCAACAGGCCTTGGAGGGTGGTACAAATGCCTCAAATAGACACCCCTTCAAAGGGTCCTGAGGTACAAATGCCTCAGACTGTGGCCGCTGCGCTTGCCTAGGACTCATGTCTGCAGCCGATGTGCAAGTGTTTCTTTGAATGACATGTCGACAGTTGACATAGAAATGAACGAATGAATCATCAAGTCCATCGTTTTGTGCTTTTAAAGAGCAGTTCACCACCTCAAGCTGAACTGACTCCTACCTGCGCGCTTGTGGCTCAAGCGCCCACCCCCCCCCAACAAAAACCATGGGAGAATTGCCATGTTCCGGTGGCTACCCGGTGGCTTTGACTCCTCAAACCGCTTCGGAAGCCACGTGTGGGGCTTGCGGCCGCAGCGCAGGTGGGTTTTGCCAGTCTTTCTGTGGCCAAGTTGTTGGATCTCATCCAAGCAGCACAAGGCAAGACCCGCTATGGGCAACCGGGCTTGGGTCGGTTGATCAGGGTGGGTTGGCGTCCTCTTTAGTGAGACAGGGGACGATCTGAGGAGAACCCACGGCTGAGAGGTCTCCAGTGACCGGAACTAGAACTCGAATTACCTAGGGACCAATAGGATAGACTATATACCAGGACCCCCAGGTCGGGGTGGTTAATGGACACCCCGAATCACAGGTAAGCGGCTATAAATAGACACCCACTTGGAGTTCTTCAACCTTTGTTGGTAGGTGAAGATCGGGGGGTGCTTTGACGTTGTGGGACCCCTTCTGGGATCTGAGCAGATTGGAAGAGGTTGGCCCGCCGCGAAACTGATTTCGTCTGCGAGGTTGAGGTGAGACGAAACGGAAAGGCAAAGGTCTGGTGAGGAGCTGGCGTTGCAATGGTCTCATCGATGCTGTCATGTCACCAGATGCCAAGAACATGAAAGAACCATGTTTTCCCCCGTGTCAGCCACATGCCCGGCGGCTCCATGCCCTCCACATGCCACATAAAAAAATCACCAGCCCCTCCCTTCCTCCAGGTCCCTTCCTTCCAATTCCCCAGGCCTCCAGTAAGCTTCCTCCAGGTCTCCAGGTCCCTTCCTTCCCTTCCTTCCCTTCCTCCAGGCCTTCAATTTGCCGTTCGATCTGTCGCTCTCTTTCGCTCCAGGTGGTCCAGGTGCCATGGAGGACCTTCGCAGTTCCCTCTCGGCGGCCTTCTCGAGCCCTGGCGGCACAAAAGGCCGCTGCGGTTTGGGGGTGGTCCGGACTGGAAGAGATAGTGCCCCAGGAGACCCCAGGTCAACCACCCCAATGTAAATATGGCCCATGGAGTGTTTGGGAATGATTTCCTTTTGTTTCCGGGACCGGTTTTTCTTCCCCAAACCTGGGGAATATGTTTTATTTTCCCCATTTTTCTCCTGGTTTCCTGGACAGCAAATCCAAGTCTCGCGACCTGTTTGGGACTGGCAACAGGGGTATCCAGTGACCTGAAAGGACCGTAATCTGGGGCCTGGGGTATGGGATAGTCGAACCAGGGTTCTTCAACCTTTGTTGGTGGCATATGGCTCAAGATCAGGCCAGGGGTGGGTAATTTATATATGTTGATTTCAGGGTCCAATGAGGTCAATGGGGTTGCATTATTAGACTCCAGTTCCATGGGGTGTAAATCCCTTGGCGGTCACCAGCCTTTGAAGTCCAAGGAGCCAAAAAAGGTGTAAATCTCTTGGCCAGAATTTCTCACCTTCCTTGGGAGGGACACCAATCAATGAAAGCAAGTAACTAGTAACTAGCTAACTAGCTGCTAGCTAGTACCTCCTTCTCGGTGAGTGTTTGGGGGACGAGTTGTGTTTGCTCTTTTCTCCCGGCTTCCTGCAGCGTTTGCAGATTTGAGGAGCCCATCGTTGCTGAACGCCTCCTTTTGCTTTCCAGGCGCGTTTGCGGGTGGGGTGGCAGTCAGACCTCCGGGCACGGGAGGGTGGGGCCCAAAATCGGCGGGGCGGGAACATCACCAAGAGTGAGTGGCTAGGTAGGTTACGTAGGTTATTAGATGGTTCCTGCATAGTAAAGTCCTTGTGAGCAGGTTCATTGGTTATAGCAGCGTTTGCAGCGATTGGTGAACCATGGAAGAATCATTTGGTGTGAACCACCTGAGCATTTTGAGGTTCCACCTTCATCCGCTTCCATCGATGCCTTCAATACAACCAACGGCTCGGCTATTCGGCGGCTATTAGCACCATGTCACAGGATTTCTCCGCCGGAAATGCCAGGCTTGTACAAGCCTCGCTTGGATGCTGGAGGTTTGCTGAAAGTCTTCAAGGGCTTGATTGGATGCCTGGACTAGGGGAATGCAGATCTCAGGGCGATCTCGGGGGGGCAGTACTCATCCACCGGAGCCAGGATCCTTTGGAGCCAACGAAGCTGAATCTCATCACCCCAGACCCCCAATAGAGAGCCAACATGAGCCATCAACCGGACCTTCCTCTTTCGCACCCCAAGCTGGCCCGGTCCAACGGGACACCGGTCTACCTCCGGTCCTCACCACGGTCACGGGAGGTTGGTGAAAAACGAGGTGATGCTTGGGGCTGTGCTGCTTTGGTCCAGCTGATGTCCGACAGCTGAACTCAACTCATGACCTCAGCGCTGACCTTGGCCCAGCCATGTTTTTAAACGAATTCATCTCGACCAGGAGTCACGTTCGTACGGAGTGGTGTGGTGTTTGGTCCCATCCAGGGGCTGTGGATGTGACGACGGGGCACCTAACCTCCTTCCTCCGTTCGTTCGGCACCCTGAGGTGTGTGACTGCTGGTAGGATGATATAGGTGATTCGTTCGGTGGCCCCTCAAGCCAAATCAGCAACTCTGGGGTTCACTTCGACCGGGCGGATCTCACGTGGAAACCGGTCGAACTGGTCGACTGATCTCACATGCCCAGAGTCTCTTATTGCGATGTCCGGGGACCCGGATCGAGTGTTGGAGACAGGGCCCTTTCCGATGACAGGGCATGACAGGGCCCTTTCAGACATTGACCCGGAAGAGCTTCTGCCGCCCCATTCCTGAGACTCAGGGCCCTTTCCGATTCGCCTCAATTCGCCCAGGAAGTGAAGAGCTCTTCGCGCAAGTGGATGCTCGGTCGAAGACACGCACGATCGAGTCAGAAAGGGGTACCTATTGGAGGAAGTTGGCGTGCCCAGAGCACTCACGGACTAAACACCACCCCGTACGAACGTGACTGCTGGGATTTGTACCCATGGCCAGGCGAAGTACTTTAGACTCCGTTGCGATGCAGGCTGCCAATCCAACTTCGCCAAATCTACTTGAGACCGAGCATCGAGTGACCTGCTGGGGCAACCTTCCCCACGTTGGAATTTAGGAGATGCACATGGTGAATGCCGCCTTTGAGGGCTTGAGCTTGTGGGCCAACGACCACGATGAGGCGCAGAAAAACCTGACGGAAGCTTGATCTGCCCAGTTTTTGTGGAGCTTGCAGCCATTTGGAGAGGTATGGAGAGGTGCTGGACCTGGGAGAGCTTGGGTTCCGCACGGTCTTGTTGCTGGCATGGCCCTGGCTTGTTCAAAGACCTACGTGCAGTTTGCTGCAGTAGACCTGGACATATACGTTGCAGGTTTATCCTCCACAAGTGCTTAATGCACACCTGGACCTTCCTGTCAGGGTGTCCTGTCTGGAGATCGATATGTAGTAGTGTAAAGGCTTCTCTTCGTGACCCCTTGGAAGGCGCCGTGTTTTTCTGTATATGTATTTATGTTATATGAAGATCTACAAATTTAAATACTAAAGTTATATATACTAATTAAGTAATTAAGTACTGACTTCTCGAGGATATCACTATATCCCAGACACTCCATGTATGCCATATCATATACATGCCTACATTGACCCCCAAAACCACCCCAACTGATCGGCATATATATATATATATATGGCATACCGACCTTGCATCGATGACCGTCGGTTGAGCTCCCTGCGCCTTTCGCGTTCCACGCGGCGCGCCCGTTGAACGCGTGGAACCAGGCGGCATCGTTGATCCATCGAGACCAACTCCGGGGGCTGGCGGCCTTGTTGCTGAGCGTGGTCTGCAGAAACGGACGATCCCCCAGTCTTGACTCTGGAAATCGATGCGATGCATGGAAGGGGAAGGAAAGGGACCCCAAAATTCATGCAGAAGGGATAGGGCAGGGAAGTGGAGCAGGGAATTTGTTTGATTTTGCTGGGGGAAGTCAGGCAGAAATTCTGTGACTGGTGGACCCACTGCTAAAGAGGCGTTTACGGAGTGTACTGTGTCCAAAACCGATTCTGATGAGATGAGCCGACGTCCAAAAATTGATCTATGTGGCGGATTTTGCATTCAAAAAGCCGGAAGTAAGTTTTTGCAATTGAGCAGCAGAAATCAGCAGAACATATTATGTGTTGCCGTGGGGCCTGAACTTGTTGCTCTCTTTTGCTCTATGACATGTGCATCGTCATGTGCCAAGAAACCGACTCCTGCGCTGTCCTGCCGTACCGACTCCTGCGCTGTCCCACCTCCACCGACTCCTGCGCTGGTCCTCAGGCTGCTGTCCCCAGTCTTGGTGGATCCGGGGAAGCCGCAACCCTACGAGGCGCGGGCGAAGCGAGGTCGGGTGGGGCGCCGGGGAGGCGAAACGAGGTCGGTCGACGGTCACGAGAGAAGCCCGTTTTCCGCGTTGGAGCAGGGAAACCCAGACACTTGAGTCCATCAAACTGTCAGAGATGGTGGTTCAGGAGACCCCAGGTCAACCACCGTCAATGTATGTAAATATGGCCAGTCCCATGGAGTGTTTGGGTAAGGTCCCCAAACCTAGGGAACATGTGGTTCCTGGACAGCACGTCCAAGCATGGTTATATAGTTTGGGGATGCTCTCCACATCCACCCGAGATGGAGAGACACGCGGGAGATGCGCGTGAGAAACGCAGAAAGCGCGGAACATGTAGCTCTACGGCGTGGTAGCAGCAGGTCGTTTATGTCCCATGTTCTAAGGTACCTGTTTGATGAGTTGTTTGCTTCCAAGGGAAGGACGAGCTCCCTGGGCTCAGGGCTTCAATTCGAGCGTTGCAGGTCGTCGACTCGCGGTGGGTTCCAATCTGCCTCGAGGACTGTAGACTGCGTGCAGGAAGGCTGATGTTGTGCATCGTGTTTGTCCGGTTCAGGTTTGAAGACATTGCCATTGTTTGCCATTGCCATTGAAGACGTTCACGTTTGAATCGTTTTCAATTTTTTGCATGTTTATTTTTTTCACGACCTGGAGTTTGACCATGGCTCAAGCCGATGCTTCTTGCTGTTGAAACCTCAACAATGCAGGTTACCGCTGTGTCTGGCAACACAGTTGCTCAGCTTGACGAGAATGAGCTGCGGGACATGGTGGAAAGTGGGCAAACTGTTCGAGACCTCAAGCGACTTCTTTCAGCTCATTTTGGGTGCTCAAGGTTTCAGCAAAGACTCTTCTGTGACGAAATGGGCGAATTGGAGGATGACTTGGCTCTACGAGCACTATCAAGTCTATCAAGTGTCCAGCTGGTAATTTTGCCCTTGTGTGCCCCTGATGAGACCATGAAAGAAGAACTGCTCACAAGCTGCAAGGAGAATAATGTGGCTCACATTGAAGGGCTGCTTCAAAAGCCACTGAACCCGAACGGGGAAGGTTTGCTTCTTGCTGCCAAGGAAGGCCACTTAGAAGTTGCGCGATTGCTGCTCGAGGCTGGAGCTGACAAAGATGCAGCAAATACAGATGGCTGGACGGCTTTGTTCTTTGCAGCCCAGAATGGCCACTTGGAAGTTGTGCGATTGTTGCTCGAGGCTGGAGCTGACAAAGATGCAGCAGATACAGTTGGCTGGACGGCTTTGCACATTGCAGCTGAGGAAGGCCACTTGGAAGTTGTGCGATTGTTGCTCGAAGCTGGGGCTGATAAAGATGCAGCAGCTACACTTAATGAGACGGCTTTGCACATTGCAGCGGTTTATGGCCACTTGGAAGTTGTTCGATTGTTGCTCGAGGCTGGCGCTGACAAAGATGCAGCATATACAGATGGTCGGAGGGCTTTGCACATTGCAGCCCGGGAAGGCCATTTGGAAGTTGTACGCTTGTTGCTCCAGGCTGGGGCCGACAAAGATGCAGCATTTAGAGATGGTTTAACGGCTTTGCACTTTGCAGCCTACTTTGGCCACTTGGAAGTTGTGCGATTGTTGCTAGAAGCTGGAGCTGACAAAGATGCAGCAGATACAGCTGGTGGTACGGCTTTGCACTCTGCAGCCGAGGAAGGCCACTTAGAAGTTGTGCGATTGTTGCGTGAAGCTGGAGTGGACCAAGATGCAGCAGAAGATGCAGCAAGAAATTGCGCTGTAAACATACAGTTCATGACTCATGACCATGCAGATATGACATGACATGACTGACAAAGATGCAGTTCAGAAGATGACCATGCAGAGTGCTGCAGGTCTTCCATGCAAAGCGCAGGTCTGGCCGGCACAAGACCTGATGTGTACGCCGTGTACGTGCCGTTTCGTCACCTGGATCCACCTGGATCGACCTGGTGAGAGGAGCAGGAGAGACGGAAAAAGGCGTCCATGACCCTCAAAAACACGATCAACACCATACAAGAACAAAATACCATTAAGGTCGGACCAAGACTCTGGTGTGGCTCGTCCCATCAGTGGGATGTGATGTGGTGTGAGGGCGCGGCACCGGCAGCCTCGGATCGCCGACTTCCTTTGGCACAACTATACCCAGACACGGCGTGTCTGGGACTGACATAGGACTGCCTATTGACCCCACTGGCGGTGTACCACCCCGATCGGCCGTGCCACGAAGGCCGTCGGTCATGGAGTCGTCCCAGACAGGTCGTCTCTGGGATCTACGGCTCCCCCGGCCCTAAGAAACCGAAACAGATCGATACCGAGTTTCGGGTCAGGAGCCCAAACGGCTAAGAGTCAATGAAGAGGTCCCCTATATAAGATCCTTTCGGCAGAAATTCTTGCCTTTTTCGGGAAGAGCGGCTCTCCCCATCCTGGGGCGGAAACCAACTTTTTGCCGCGGAAATGTTTTTGTTGCCGCAAATTTTCCCTTTCAGGAATCTAGTGAGAGACTACATATATTCTATATAGAACAGTTGAATCTTTTTGGTGGTTTGCATGTGCATTGGGCATTTCTGCCTGGAATGGTCACCTCAATGATACAAAAAGATGGCGGCGCCTAAGTTTCCACCTCCACCTGCAAATCTGGCTACCATGTCACATGTCTTTGTTTTTGAAGGCTTCTTGTGCGGAATGAGCACACGAGCAGTAAAACCAGTCCAAAGTTGAAAACACCTGGCGCGAAAATGCCCGGGAAAGAGGCGGAAATACCCGGGAAAGAGGCGGAAATACCCGGGAAAACGGCGGAAATACCCGGGAAAACGGCGGAAATTTCCTGGCAGAAGGCGGGATTCAAGAACAGTGCCCTTGAAGGGCTTGAACATATATCGCAGCCTCTTTGTGAATGTCATGAATTTAGAAGTAGGATGTCAGATCTTGAGATGTGAAACTATGGCCTTGCAGAACGATATGTGGTCTGCAATCATGGAAAGAGACAACCTGGTCGGTGTTAGGCAGTGGTGATGGTTTTTGAATTGCTATGTCGGATTTTACTCGAGGCAAAAATTCCCCGCTGGCCGCGGAAATTCCTACCTGGCGCGGATTTACCTTAAATCCGCGAATCCTCGCGGGCAAATCGGGCTGAGGCAGAAATTTTTGCCCCAGGTGCTTTTATATAGTCCGTCCGTCCGATCCATGAAGCTCCGAGGCGAGGTCTTCGAGGTTGATCTCCAGGTCCAGGACACCTTGAGGTCAGATGGTCCAGGTGATTTGTTTGGACCCCGTGCCATCCCTGTACCTGGAGTCGACCCCTTCGTACCCTGAAAAATGGGTACAGTACCTGTTTTTATGGGGCTATGTCCCATTTTCTATAGGTTACTTTGGAGGGTCTAGGTAGTGCAGCTGTCGTGCCATGTTCTGTTGAGGCAAGTGAGGCAATGTTCACTTCCAAATCCACCAAGTCCTTGGATCACCCCCCTGACCATTCTCTTGAAGGTGTCCCGAACTCGTGGACAGACCTCACGTCGACCGGTCAAGCGGTCGACTCTCGCCGCGCAAACGCGTGCGAGAAGCGGAACTGAACAATGTCGAAAGCCGATCAGAAGCCCAAGGCCAAAACATACGAAAACACGACCTGACGTTTGAAGCCATGTTGACCTTCATTTGATCTAATGTTGGTGCTCTGAAATAGAGGTCGTCACTTTTGTCGGTCAAGTTTGTTGCTTCCATGTGCTACTTGCGTGCTACTGATCCATGCTAGTGCTTAGCAACTCACTGCCAGGACCATCCAAGGGATGTCCAATACCCAGGACATCCCAGGACCACCCGGGTGTATAGGTGGTTGTTGGGTTCGGTGCCTGTGACTCACATCACCACTCTTCTCCGCGCTTTGCCAGGTCATGTGCCGCATTATGCGCTTAGTCGCTGGGCTTAGCTCGGTGTTGGGCTGGTGCGAGCTCGGGGGCTGGGCGATGGCTTTCCATGCCTTTTTCTCCCCGAAACGGTGAACCCTCGGCCCTGAAAGCTTACTGTAGGGCTCCTGTCGCACCTTCCAAGACAGGTGTTCGGGGTGGGTGCCAGGAGGGTCCAAACACCTTGTGAGGATGTACTTGGAGCCTTAGGGATAGGCACTTATTGGCTGGTGAATCCGTTGCGCTCCTGGCCGCCCCCTCCGAAACTCGGTGGGACTGGGGGGGGTCGAAGAGGACCTGAAGACATGGGACAGGAGCCAGTACAGGAGCGCGAGCTGTATAGGGAAGGATTTTTTGAGAGGACTTGGAAGGGACAGGTTGAAAAACCCGACTCTTCGACCAATCCAGTTCGGTACCCCACATCCTTCGAGATCCGCTTGTCCGGAAGGCCCGACAGCGCCCAGGTGGCCTGGATGCCGGCGGAGGGCCGCCGCGAGTTGCAGGAACTCCTCATTGACGACTGCTCCGAAGAGGAGGCCGGGCGTTCTAGGAAGTCGGGCTGAAGGGGTCTGAAAACCACTCACTGGGAGACTCAACACATCTCAATAAGTGAGGAGAAGTGGGAGACTTCCAGTTCAGACTGAAGTGGGTGCTTATTTCTCCACTCACCAATTCTTAATTGTATGTTTAACATTGTTTAACGATTTCCTATCGTTTCAAGCGCGACACAATCGATGGCGAATCGTCACAAACATTTGGAATTTGAGCCCTCTGACTCCTAAACCCAGGATTCCCGGATATTCCTGGCCTACCATTTATTAGGCTATTTAGTTTGAATAAATTGAATGTGCTTTTTGGGCCATGCAACCGGGATGTGGTTTTAAGAAATTGGATGGAATTGGTATACACCCCAGTGCATCCCAGGCACACCACGAGTAGTAAGGAACCAGGGGCCCTCGTTCGGTCAACGGTATTGAGTCGGAACCACTGGGACTCCCAGCGACATCGTGGGCACTGCCTGGATGCCCTCCTATACTGTAGCAAGAAGATGTGGGGCTGGGTGCTGTGGCATGGTGACATCGTGGGCACTGCCTACTTCTGACCTCTGATGGTCTGACCGGGGCAGCCGAGCTCGTCCACCGAGCTTCGGATCGCTCGTCTCAGATCTACCAACACCTAGCGACACGGTCATGGAAATATACCCTACACCAGGTCAGCTTGAGTTGGTCGTGCTGGAGGTCATACAACCCTAGGGCTCCAACCATATCCTCAGAAGGTGGCTAGACCCCCCTGGCACCCACCCCAACAAAAACACTACTCAAGGCTCAAGGAGGTCGTCTAGACCAGGTTTTACTGGGTCAGACTGGACTTGTAGGAGTACCTTGACCATCCTGTCTGAGCGTCCTGGCTGGAGATGATCAAGGAGTGTAGGGAGATCCAGCCAGGACACCCAGATCAATGGAGCGGAATAGATACCAGTCCTATAGGTATAGATAGACCAACAGAAGTTGAAGAACCCTAGTTCGGCTATCCAGGTACCCCAGGTCATTCATGTCCTAGTTCCGGTCACTCCGCCATAGCTTTGTTGGGATAGATGCCTATCTGCTGTTCCCCGTGATGTTCTCGTAGAAGAACAGCAAGAAAAACTATAGCATCGATCCTGTCAAGACTTCTCGACACACACACACACACACCCACCAACCAACCAACCAACCAACCAATCTTGGCCTTTCTTCGGCCGGTCTTCGTCTCCCCAGGTGCTCCGGAGCTTGGTGAGCCGCGTGCGTTTGCACTGCGACGAGACGGTGCTGCGGGCGCACCAGATGCAGCGGCTATCGCCTGAGATCTGGGAGGGGCTCATGTGGCTTGGTGAGCTGAGCAAGACATGACGGCGGAACGAGGGACCCGGGGGGGGGGGGGGGTGTAGTTTTTGGTAGATGGTGGTGGTATGTGGTGGTTAAGGTGGGAAGCGTGAGCGATTGATGTGGGGAATGCGTGGCTTTCCCTAAGGCCCCTACTGTACGGGGGTACGGGGTCGGTGTCTAATGAGCTCCTTTTAGAGGTGCTTCGGGTATCCAGGATACTACCCCAAACCGGGGGCCCTCGTACATATTTTAGTGGATCCCAGGCAGACTATATATATATATATATAAGGAACCAGGGATTCGTTCGGTCTATGGTTTGAGTCGAGCTGGAACCACAGGGACTCCCAGCGACATCGTGAGGCTGGGTGCTGTGCACCAAAAAAGACCTCCTGCCTGATGTGTTGGAAGTTGACCCAGCTGGAGGATGCACCATTACATGGTGAAGAATGATGACACCTACCTGATGGTATTAGACTGCGTGATTGACTTTTTGGTGACTGGTGGGTGGGTGCCTAAGAACTGGATCAATAGGCCATTTCTTTCATACAAGAATCTGTCTTGTGCATGTTTTTGGGGATACTTCTATTTGTGGATTGTGACATTTTGATGTCTAATGCATGCACAGATCTGTCACCTCTGCCTGTGCGTGTAGAGTCACCGGGCCTAGTCGCGCGATCCCAAAAAAAGCGCAACGTCTTGAGGCTGCTTCAGCTCCTTTGGGGCACGAACGAGGCCCGCTTTCGATGAATGTGTGGGTGAGAGATATGGTGAGGTGACTTGAAGATGTTTCGAGAAAATAACTGATGCTCCTGGACCTTTAAGGAGTATCCAATGGAGGTCGCTTAGTGGTGTAGGGGCTTCCATTGGTGACCCCTTTGAAGGTGCTGGCTGTATATAATTCGGGACTTGGCATCAGTCCATGAACGCTTAGCTTAGCTGGTGGTTAGGAATGGTTAATTAGGAGGGAGGTGCTGAGAAAGCCTGGGGTATCCAGATGATTATTCTAGATCATTTTACTGGGTCTTTGGACCTGTAGGATTCCATATTCCAATTCAATCCGGGAGAACCCTCCCCAGGGAGTTCCGAAGCGTTTTTCGCATGCACAGGGCAGCTTGAGGATGTCCTTCGAGATCGGCGGATGGAAACAATCTCGGCTCTGACAGTTTTGGCAGAGCAAGACGTGATCTTTCTAGGTGCTCCTTGAAGCATACACTTACTCGGCAAGAGGTTTATGTTAAGCCTAAGAAATTGCACCCTGAAATGGAAAGGGTTTGGTTCGGGTCCGGACCCCTGCCATGGAGAGCCCAAAGCATAATTGGGGTCCATGCAAGTCCTCACCGCTCGCAGAAATCACCAACCAATGGAGCCGAAATCCATCCGTTCTTTCCGCACTCCTGGCACTCTCCTCCTGCAACACCCAACCAGGGTCGACCGGGAAACCGCTTCCGCGGTCTCCGCGGGGTACCTTCGGAATGCGACCCTTCGGCTCGTGCCGTTCGGAGGCGATTGCCCAGCGCTTGGCCAAGTCACTGCGGTCCTCGGAATGGCCTGAGGCGGGCGGGGCTGGCGCAGCTTTAGCATGTTCGTCAGCTCCTTCAGAGCCAGGGTTGATCTTTTGGGCAGCTTCCAAGAGAGGTTAAGTGACCGTAAATAGGGCCGTAACCTGGGGTACCGAACTGGGATAGTCTAGTTCGGGTTCTTCAACCGCTGTTGCTTCTTTGCAAGGACACAGCCACATCGCATGGCCGATGTCGCATGGAAACTCCACGTTGACCCCAACACCGGTGGGTCGCTTGACCCACCGGTCGTCAACCGGTCTCCTGGTGCCATGACCGGTCTCAGAACGATGCGCCGCGCAGAGGAGGCGCTTCTCGAAAGGGCGAGGTCGATTCAGGTCGACTGGTCTCCAGTTCAGGGCATAGAAGTGTGTAGAATGGAAGTTCAGGGCAGAATGGAAGCGCACAGTCGGACGGCCATTCTGCCGCCATCGCTCCCGGACCGGTGCCATACGGCTAGACTCCATGGAATTCTTCCACGCCCACACGAGTCACGTCGTAGATGAGTCACGTCCACGCGTGCGAGGCGGACTTTGGACAAAGCTTGGCACAAACGTTGTCGCAGCTCGGGAAGCCGGCCGCCAGCGTGTTGGGGCGCTTCACTTTGGCGCCACAGGCGTGGCGGCGTGTCGCGCGTGTTTGGGGCGTGTTTGGGGCGGTTGGTGAGGACGACTGGGCAGGATGCGGTGTTTGTTTTTGTCGTGTATGTGTGCACTGTGTGTGTGTGAAAGTGTTTCATTTTGGGATATGATATGGCTTCTCAAAACGGTATAGGACATAGGAGTGAAGGAAGGGAAGGTTTCTCCAAAAGCCTGGCATTGACATGCTGTTTTTTGGGGGTGTGGATGACTTGCACAACATTCAAGATGCAATACCTCAGGTCGCTGGATTTGGATAGGGTGACAAGACTTCCTTCAAAGGGCATGCAGCAGTATACCTCATGTTGCGATCCAATCGATTTTTCCAGAAACTATGTCATGGATATTTCCACCCAAAGCATGAACTTCGAATCCACACCACCACGCGTTCTCAGGTGCGGCCGCCAGTGCCCAGTTCAGAGTTTCACTTGCAGAGCTTGGCGGAGGAGAAGGTACCTCCAGACCCTTGGCGAGTGAAAAGCGCCTTTTTCACGGCGTGTTGCACGGACAGCGTTTCACAGCAGGGAGGGTATATGATATTATAGGATGTTTTGCTTCTTCTTTGGTTGCGTTCTTCAAGCCAGACAGGTGCAAGATGGCATGGTGTTGTTTTAAATGTTGCCGTTCTGGCAATGTGTTGTGGTGATGTTGGGCTCGACCCTGCCATGCTGGTGAGCTCTACATCCTCACTCCCTCATCCTTCTTCTAAATTCGTTTGGTGCTGGTTGGGTGACTATAGGAACCATTTACGACTAGGAAGGGACTATAGGAACTTTGTGTGTTGAGAGTTGACCATTCCTATACTGTATTAGGAACTTTATGGGAAACCTAGTGGGAAACCTCTAGAGGGGTAAGGGATCAAAAAAAAATAGAATCAAACAACATATTCAAAGGGGATCAAAAAAATAAACAGGGAATCAACAAACATATTCTAGCCCACTGAGGATGGTTGGGGTAGTAGTAGTAGCAGTAATAGCAGTAGCAGGATTAGGAGACCAAGGGAAGAGGATGGAAGGAGTAGGGGACTAGGAGAGTGTACCTCCCTAGGAGCTCCTTCCTAGTAGGAGCTATGCCCTATAGGACTCACTTGCGTCTTGCGAAGCCGGGACACAAGAATGACGCCGCAGCGACTCCTCATCGCTTCATTGCACATATCTCGCGTTTTGTACACCCAACGCCTTCATGCGCGAAGCCCGCAACACCACTCCCATCTGCCGGCTCTCTCCGAACCACGCCGTCCTCCCGACTCTCTCTCTCTCTCTCTCTCTCTTCTTCGAACGCCTCACGCCGCCGCGCAGAGCGCCGAACGCCGAACGCCGGAGGAGTTGGAGTTCCGACTCTTCGTGGAGAACGCCTGCGCGGGGCCCATCACTCCCTCCGAGGCGACGCGGCGTGCAAACGCGGTGGTTGGACCGGGGGAACCGCGAAGGAAGCACCCGGTGTGCGTGGCAAACACGGCGGATCAGGGTGAAGGTTTGATTGGCCCGAACTGTGTCAATCCCCTTGGCCATGGGGAACAGGCTTCAACTTTTGATCCCAGGGTCCTTAAGCCAATCCAAGATGAGGAATTGACCCAGAGCCATAGCTGCTATCGTGTTTTTGTTGTTTAAAGAAGTTAGCATCCACTGTCACAACCACCCGTTGCTGCATGGAACATACCGTGGGATGCGGAGCGGGGCAGTCAACCCGTGTTTGTACAGGGTCACGACCGGAGCTTCCTCTTGGACCCCCCTTAAGGGACCATTGAGACTGAGACCATCCAAGAGAGGTTCAACAGCCCTAAAGGTCGCCCATCCCATATGTACCACAAACCATGAATCATGATGCTGTAGGCATTGCATGTGACATAGTTTAGAGTTTGACATAGTTTCACCACTGTTCTTCAACGAGGTGCTGGAGCTTCCTCTCTATGCAGCCCGGACGGACTATGGCTTCGAGTATGTCTTGCCCAGCAAGATGCGGAGCTTTATGGCCAATCGTGAACTGGCCAATCCAGCAACATTTCTGGTTTTTGCATTGGGCTGAGCAGCGAAGATTTTGGGGGGGGCGTGGTAATTGATCAGCATGCGCATGTCCAGTGGGGACTACTGGTGTTCTATTTCCTATAAAGCCGGAGGTGGCTGAAAGGCTTTGTTTCTGAAAAGATCTTCTGGTGAACCTATGTGACCTGTAGAGTAATTACTTAATGCTTTATGGAGTGTCCTTAATTTGCCCACTGACTCTCTCTCGAAACCCACCATGTTTCTTTGGAACTTCTGCGTTGCTGAAGGTGGGTTGGGACTTTCATCCATCTCCGCGTTTGGAGGCGCCTGTTCTAGGAAGTAATGTGAGGGAAGGTTTGCTCAAGGTCCCTTGCCATGATTGGAGTTGCCACTGAAGAACAGTACTGGCATTGGGACAGTGAAGTGGCAAATGACGTGCATCGATGGTTGCACACCGCGGCGGTGTTGAACATCACTCCTCTGCAGGCTCACGCCGAACATGGGGAAACCTTCTCTGGTCTGACTGTGAAGATGCAATACACGCTAGCCTCGGTGGCTCCCCTTGCGCTTGCCATGTTCGGCGCGCCATCAGCGGACAACGAGTACACAGTTGTCGACATCCCCTTGGCACAAGGCCTCAAGACCGCCCTGACAAAGCATGAGATGGGCGAGTGCTTGTCGATGGCGAAAACGCTCGTGTTTATGGCGTTGCACCAAAAGATGACCATCGGCCACGCGTGGAAACACGATGTGGCCACGGTTCGCAAGGCAACGTCCCTGCTTCTCAACACGTCAGGCCACAACGTCGATTTCCTTCCCACCGCAGGATCAATGAAAGCAAGCACGGCGAAGGCATTGAGCACCCTCTGTTCAGTATTTCGCCTAGCCCTGCACCCAGTCGATTTACGGACAGGGGCGGCATACCTTGGTGCAGTGCTGGTGCGCGAGAGAAGCATTCCTCACTTCGAAGAATTCAACCTGGCTACTTGCAACGCCTGGCGCAATGGCGCCTGGATCGTGGAGGGTATGGCCACTTCTTTGACATGCATGGCGACCTCTTTGAGCCAAAAACAAAGCAACAGCTCAACTTCACAGCAAGCCCATGCTTGGGTTGGAAAGGCTGAGTGGCTTATTTTAGCAAACACATGCTGTAACACAAAGATATGTATACACACATGTATATATATATATACATATATACACATATATGCCTTGCCAAAACGCATAGAAACATACCTTTGTCTGTTTGGTTGTGGTGTTTGTTTCCAAGTAGTGCCCTTGCCCCCCCCCACCACTTTCAACATGTTTTCTTCATGCGCTGTGGTTGTGCTTGCTATGCCAACTATTGTGGCAAACTACTGTGGCATATCCCTTTTGCCAAGGAACAAAACCATTATCCATTGTGGCATGTCCCTTTTTGTCAAGGAACAAAACCATCATCCATTGTGACATGTCCCTTTTGTCAAGGAACAAAACCACCCTCAAAACAAAACTGCCAGCTAGTGTGGTCCATTGTGGTCATCACACCCTTTTGTCAAGGATGTTTTTT